AAAGAGAAGTGCTTGAAACTGTGAAGGAGAATGGCATGGGGAAGCTACCCAATGCTGAGTAACTTTAAGCAACATTGAGGCTACTCAGTCTCCTCTACAGCACAGCAATGCCCTGCCTGTATTTAAGCAAAACCTCCTAATTAATCTGCTTTACAAAGCAATGCTACACATCAGGGATAAGCCTCAGGATTAACCCCCTCTGTGCCAGGATGCTGCCACTCCACTTCACCCAACGGCTGCAGTCCCCTTTGCCCTGGTGGGTGGGTCTCACTGCAGGCCCATCTCATCCTTCCAGACTGTCGGGTTCCCACATAGCCCATCTCCCTGTAGCCTGTAGTGTTCCTGCTTGGACACCTTTACTTAGAGAACAGCTGACAGAGGCACTTACTCAGGCCAAATTTCCAAGATGGCTCAGTACATTACATTGGCAAGATCTGTCCTTTATCCAGGGCCTGACTGGGTGCTGAGACCTTTTGAAGACCTAGCTCTCACTATGGGTGCCCTGGGGCCAGAAATCTGGCCATGGGACCCTTGTGACCTTGGTAACACATAGAGGAAAGCTTTCTTGAAGGGCAATGTGCAACAAAACTCTGAATTTCTAATGTAGAAAAGCCCCCGGGATTTATTTATTTTTTTTAAAGGGAAGATTCCTTCCCTCCCATACCTCAGGATGGGTTTTTTGAACATTAACAATTCAGATTGTCTTTGCCCTGCAAGAATGTACAGATATTTGGGAGGAACAGAGAGGAGAACAACCACTGACTGTATGGGAGCGAAACCAGATCACTGCAAAGAGTTTAGGGCCACCCAGGGCTATAGTATCTGATTGCTGGCATTATGCAGGCCTGGGAACTTTCTGCATCAAGCCCAGATCTGGTGATTGACCTAGAAAATATTTTCTAGGAAGAGGCCTCCAGGCATCTCTAACAGATGTTGTTTCAGATACCACCCCCTGGCATCAGGTAGTAGGTTACAGGGAGGTGTCCTCGTCATTCCACTCTAAATCTCTGAAGTATGGGTTCCTTTTGCAGAGGTCCCTTCCTACTCAGCCAGTTAGTTCCTTCTGTGTGATTTCCCCATTGCCCTGAAGTCTGTGTGCAGTATTTGTAGCAGCAAGGGCAACACACAACCAGGCTGACTGGGTGGCATTTACAAGGGGCTGCCCAGGGAATCCCACCCTGTGTACGTGAGAGTTGTGTCTTCTTGCTCTGATGACAAAAATAACACTGATAACGCCACATCAGAACAGGACTCTGCTCTGGCTCATGCATCACCAACAGAAACATTCAAGCAGGCTTCCATTACTACACTGCTTTGCAATGCCACGAAAGACGCAGGAGAATAACTGAGGGCAGAATTACACCCTGCGCGTAAAGCGTGAGACTGATAGAAACCAGCCTGCCCTTCATATTGGCAGCTGGGTGCTTACAGCTTGGAGTGACAGCAGATGGGTAGGCCAGTTCCACCTCTGCTTTCAGTGGAGGGGGTCTAGGTGGAAGTGAGAGCACAAATTGGCTTATATTTTTTTTTTTCCCCCCACATCTTTTAACTTGAATGTATTTGATGTTGCACTCACAGCAGTGGAGCCAACACAGCTCTCTAGCAGGCCACCTGCAGACATCTTTCACGCAGCAGAAGCACAGTGTAGGG